ACACACACACACACACACACACACACACACACACACACACACACACACACACACACACACACACACACACACACACACACACACACACACACACACACACACACACACACACACACACACGCCACACACATATATACATATACATACATATACAAATACATATACAAAAACATATAGACATACATATATCAATATATAGCATTGGGCTGATACATATATACAAAAAGAAGGATATTATTCATTTTATACATATACTAACTCGTATTCTGCAACCTACTTTTTACGGAAAACCTCGAGCTCAGCGGTGGCAGCGTCCAGCTTGAGCGCCTGCTGACTGACAGCATCTCTATCAGGTTTCTCCGCTTCTTTCAGCGCCCTTTCCTTTTCCTGTAAGACCGTGTATTCAAAACTGTTAAAACTCACCAAAGCTTCCGCTCCCAGGCATCCGGTACGACGTGGTACACACGCACGCTCTTCTATATCATAAAGACGTACAACACGCTAGACATGTGAACCTCTTGACGGTCAAAAACATAGAAATACCAGCGGCTCAACAGTTACGTAAAAAATCAGATTCACAATAAACAGTCACGTAAAAAACAGTCATGTAAGGCAACAGATTCACGATGGTTGGCACCGCTTGAATACGGCAAGCACGAGACAATTGGCATTACTAAGACTCGACAGCATTGCGATGACTACACATACCATCTTCTCTATAGTAGCGGCCATCACGGCCTTCTCCTGCTCAACCTTAAGCAAGGCCTCTTGGTGCTCACGACGCACACTCTCACTAGCATCTGTCATGGTCTTGCATTCACTCTGCAGCGTTTCTATTGTTTGTGCCTGCTGCAGATGCGCTTGTTGGGTGCCTAGGTGGAAGATACGAAGATAGTATGGATGCTGGGAAAACGACCAGGAGATATATAATCTGCGAAAGTGTCTATACTCGAGTATACACGCACATGCATGTAGATATAACACGAACGCGCACACACCAATATACGTTCATGTACAAAAAAGAATTGTGAAATACGCGTAGAATATTCATAGTGTCACAGGAAGTATAAGTATGTACACAACTAAGAATATATTAACGGTTGCGTCGCACTCGAGGACACTAAAATATCAAAGCATAAACAGGCATGTGGATATAGTCTAGCAACGTGAATCAAAACCAAATACAGTAAATCAGCCACTTGTGCAGATACTTAAATATACCTAACTCGCCCGGTACTTTACATATACACATACAAACAGCACACACACATGCACAACATTGGACACGTGGTCATAACTACACACGATCTTACATAATTGTATGCACGTCAACGCACACGCAGAGAGTGTAGATCGGCCGAAAGTGAATCCTATTGACCTTATCCAAAAATCTCTATCAGACACGCACATGTACAGGTATATTTGTAACACAGACGCACATATACAGACACATTGATTCTAAGTCGACCCGTCTCATGTTTCATGTGCATACCTTCAGCATCACGCCGTGCCATGTCCAAGGCAGACACTAGGGCTTTGAGCTCATTGTCCTTTGTGGTGATCTGCTCGTGCAACTTAGCGGTGTCGACACTGGATGATACACGCTGTTCTAGTTCTCTCTCTAGTCCCTGTTGTGGAATGCCGCACCGATACATCCACATGTATTTGTATTGAGATACGAATGCAAGCAGCATAGGAGTATACATATAGTGCACCTCTCTAACGGACTAGTTATTGTAAGCAATCACTGCTGCGCACACATTCAATGCTGAAGGGCGTTCAATCGCTCTTTCCATCGTTTATGTGCATGCTGCACATCACAAACATCACCTTCACTATATAACAAGATTGGAGGGGAAACATCTTAGGACTGAAAGTCATACCGAAGTTTGGCCTATTTTCCGAGAATCTGCAATAACATACCCGACATCTCTCCGTTTCTTTTGCCAAAGCGGATGTGGCCTCATCGATATCGCTTTTGGCTTTCTTTTGTACATCTTTCAGCTGAGTTATTAAAACAAATGATAATGGTTTGAGAAAGTATTGGATCGATTCGGTATCTGCGTAAGTTTTGACGTTGGCACGAAAAAGATTACATACGAAACAGATGCGTTGAGATCGTAAGTAGACTTTTGCGGATATTGAGACCCCATAAACTTGTGAAAGTATTTGCATAAATGTATAGAATTCTCGATGCAGTCACCACACTAGTAACCCCCCCAAAAAAAAACACCATACATTTCCAATTCCTAATTGATTTTGTATCGATTCTATCTAGTGAGCATCGGGGCCTGCGTACACAGCGCATATAGATCAAGCGTGCTTGACATAGTATCATGGGCAAGCACACATCTGGTCGAGGACAAAAACAATGAAAAAGGTACCATCAAATA